CTTTTACCCTTCCGATTCTCTCCCCCATCCCACCGAGGAGGAGTGGGCGAGTGGCTGTGCTTAGTTGCCAGCTGGGATTAAACCACGACAGGCTGCTAGAGGCAGCACGTACTTGGGGAAATGCTGACTGAACCTTAGCGGCGGGTCAGGCCCACTGCTGCAGCAGAGGCTTTTGGCCCAAGTGCCTCCAACTTCAGGGGTGAGTTCTGGCTGGGATGCTTCTGCTCTGCACATCTCTCCGTGGAAATAACTGCCATGGATGGAAACGGTTGATTCTTGCAGAGGATAAAGAGCCGAGACCAAAGGTAACAGATGAAGTAGCAGGGGAGGGGGCAGGAAGGAAACAAAACTGAGAAGGAAAGGGCCCTGAAAATGGAGCAGGGATTCTGCTGATCTTTTATTTTCCGTCAGTCCAGAGTTAGACTGAGAACATATTTTTCCTTGCCGTGCTGCTCGAATGTGCTGGAGTGGCCACAAAGCATAATCCCAGCAAGCTCCTTCAATAGCGTGGATATTTCAGACAGGTTTCCTAAGGACAGGAGCTTGGATCGTGCCGCTTATCTGTCCCGTCGTCTCCACTCCCTGCCCTTCCACAACTGCTGAACACATTGCCCGTTTCGGGCAAAGTCTGGCCACGAGAGAGAGACCCCAAGACACTCAGTTTCAGCGGCTCTTATAAAACAGGAGCAGGATAATGACACAACACCCCAAACCAGTGCCCGCGCTCCTCAGGAGGCCCGGGCTCACGTCCATGCAGGTCAAGCTCAGGTCCTCATGTAGGAGCTTTTCTATTTTCTAGTGTCGTTGAGTTTTGCCGTATAACTTTGTTCTTTCCCTGATGCCCAATTTGCTCTTCTTTGTCAGAGGGCTGTGCAGAAATTTTCCAGTCTGGCTTAGCATCATTTTAGTGGGGAAGCGGTGTCAGCAAGTGTGAGCTTCCCCTCCCAGCAAAATGACATACGCTGTTTTGAAGAGCTGTGCTGAAGCATGAAAGTGACCTGCGCTGAACTTCCCTCCCCTCTGTAATCTTGCGTGCTAGTCATGGGTGATACCACTGGACTCTGACATAACGTGATAACAAAGAAACATTTCCTGCGATCACCAGTAGCATGACAGCGTTAACCCTTTTCAGTGTGGGTCCAGCGAACTGTGCGTGGCAGAGACTCCCTTCTGCCTCCCTCTCTTTGCCCTCTCCTCCCGCCAATCTGATCTCCTTGGGGAACTGTTCCTCGTGAGGGGTGAAATGGCAGGAGGTGCTGGAGGAGAGCCTGGGACTTGTCTCCTCCCCCTCTCTTACCGCCGTCGGGACAGGGGATTTCCTTCCTGGCACCTCTCTTGTCTTTTCCCTTTCTGACTTCCAAGAGTCCCAGGTGCACAAGGTGCTCTCCTTCCCCACTTTGCTGTGATGAGGCCGTCCAGCAGCGGGGGAGAAAAGAGACGTGTGGCGCTGTGGAAGAATAAACGAAGTATGCTGATCACTCATATTGAGTGACTGTGTCTTCCCTCCGTTCCGGCGAAAGGCGCAACATGGCGCCTGCCGGACCCTCTTGGCCGTTGTCTCTCAGTGGCTCCCGTGCCAGCTTGGAGAGGATGACAGCAGGGGTACAGCCAGCCAGGGGCAGACCCCCCCTGAAATGTGGATCTCCCTTACAGCAATGGCATTTAGTGCCATGACATCAGGTGAAGGCAGGACAGTGTGGTGACAGCAGATCAGCTGTCACCACTGTGTGCAGAGCAGCTTGCGGGTTTTGTCAGAAGTCCAAACGCCCTTTTGTCAGCACGAGTAGCTGAGTGCAGGTTTTGCATAAACCAGTGTCGGAAAGCCTGGGGTAGCCTGGCCTGCTCATTTCCAAATGACATATGCCCCTTCGACTTGTAAGTGGTCATAGGGAGGTCCATTAAGTCTTATTACCGCCTTTTCCCCTCTGTATTCTGGGAAAAATACTGTTCATCTGTCTTGCCCTTTTAAAGTTGGAAGCCTTTTAAAGACGTTCTGTTTTCCACGAATCGCATTAAGCCAATTGTAACGTTTTCCAGGACGCTCTGAAGGTATTTGTGAGTTTAACTCCCACTGACATCCTCAAGAGTTAGGCACCCAGGTGCTTATGAGGATGCGAGTATTTTAACGGCAGTATCTTTGGGGCAAAGACCCTGGGGCCCTATGTACATGAAGAGTGCGTGGAGAAAAGGATCGCTGAGCTCAGCTGGGGCTGGTAGTCAGTATTACGATGCTTTTGTCGGTGCTGTTGGTTTTTGTGTCTCCTTGCAAAACCTCATCTGCACAAATGTTTCAGCTGAACGTGTGATAACTACACGCAGAAATTAATCTGAGAGAGCGATCCTGCAACTTCTCAGATGGAAAACAAATTATGAAGACCGAATGACTCTGTTGTGGTTTAACCCGTCAGGCAGCTAAACACCACACAGCCATTCACTCACTCCGCTC